CGTTTTTTTACAACGGCCGGCCGGGAGGTAGTAAAGGTAGGGGTCTGCAGCTCCCCGGCCTTGACACACGAACGGGCCGGGCCAAGGACCCTGGCGGGCCGGATGTGGCCCGCGGGCCGTAGTTTGAGGACCCCTGGTGTAGATATTGCACAGTATTTAAGCAGGTTTATTAGAAGTATTTAGAAGCTTTATTAGGCCGCGAATGTAAGAAGGGGAAATGAGCCGGTTTTTATCATCTCCTTTAGATTCACCAAAACTATGTAATAGGAGGAGACACCTTAACAATCCATTCAATTTGTATCAGATCAGGCATACCCATGCAGTACATAGTTTTATGGCAAATCCAAAGAAGATCAGGTATGCAACTATATTTTAGGTTGAGTGACGGAAACTATAAACAGAGGAAAAAGGGGGAGGGGGAGGGGAGAAAGAAGAGAAAATAAATAAGTAGGGGTGAAAGTGTCTTTCCAAAATGTCTGACTGTCCTAATATGGGTGCCATGGGGGAAAAGGAGCTCTGTTTGCAACTAAACCTAAAATTATTGCCAGTCACATGTAAGTTAGGTCCGATAAGTGGATGTTTTTGCAAAGCTTTAGTGAGCCCCTGAACATAACTTCACTATATTGATTTTGCGAAGTTGATATGTTCTACACTGTTAGTAAATCTACCCAACACAGCACCTGGGGGTTACCAGGCATCTGACACTGATGCTGAAGATCTCCGGATGTCATAGCTCCTCAAGAGAGTGAATAGAGGAGGTAAGAGAGGCAAAACAGGTAAGTAATTTACAGACACCTCTTTTTAACTTTTTTCAGGTGATAACAGTGTTGCTAGACTTTAGTTCGGTTGAAGTCTCTGTATTAGTAAGGCTGCATATACAGTAATAAATACGCTTTTTATTCTGCATTTCTTACATATTAAGTGCTGCAGCAACTGTTAAAATACTCTGTACTGTCAGCAAGATGGAGAGCCAGGCTGCTGCTCTCACAAACAACATAACAGCCAAGGTCTTCATCAGTCCCTGGCACAGTGCTCCAACCAACAGCACTGTTCAGAGATCATGAGGCACAAGCATAGAGTAAGTGTGTGAGAGCAGCAGCTCTCCAGAGTGCTGCCAGCTCAGGATATTTTAGCCTATTAATACACAGGGGGTTGATTTACTTAAGGAAATTACCCTGTTCACATTGGGAAAGTTTACTTTGCAAGGGAATTGTCCCTTAGCTTAGTAAATAAGGTGAAGTTCTGCTGACTTCCCCCATCCAATCATTTACAGCCAAAAAAAGTTTTTTTGTATTTCCTTGTATGTGCTTCTATATTCATTGCAAAGTGAAATTTCACCACATTCATCAAACTAAGGGAAAATCCCCTCACTGTATACGCAGTTTGGCTGCATTAGGGTAATAAATACAGAGGCTTCAACTGGGCTTTCAAAATGGGATGACTGCAGAACATCCTTTATGACTGCTTATTACTAAGTTTAGTATCTTTCAAACTTCATCCAGCTTCACCATCAGATGTGTTTTCCTCTTAGCTTAGTCATAGATGATCTATGAGGTATGGTCTTCTGAGAGAAACCCATTAGAATGTAGTGTTGAACGGAGTGTAAAAAGATCCCAAACTGACAAGAGTTAAAATATACTGTATGCATATGTTCAGTTCCATTATTGCCAGCATAGTGAGTGATGGCTATGGAGGAACCCCAAGTCCAAAACACCCACAACTGTATTAGGTGGTCTGGAGCTGTGGTATATTTATTTACCCATTTAATAACACACAGCACAGTGTAATTGTTTTAAAAAACTATGTAAGGAATCAATGAAAAAACATAATTAACATAAAGTAACAGTACATATCAAATAAATGCTTCTTACCCCTGACATTCTGTATCACATTCCCCAGGAGAAGTATCCTCTGACTTTTTCCATCCAATTACATATTTGCTCATAGACTCTTGCCTTTGGAAAGATTTCTTATGTGTGCCAGAATGGGGAACAATGTACACTTTTGAAGTATCCAGTGTTCCACTGTTTTTAGGACATTGTGATGAAGGGCTTCCTGAATGACGTGACCCACTGCAGTGTCAAGAAAAACAAACATTTAGAAACTCTGATAATGATACAATAAACAAACTGAATTAAACACAAATGTTTATTTTTTTTATTTTTACAGCTTAAACTAGAGGAACCTTTTGCAAAAATGGTAGTAGGGAGTCACACTCAACTAGACTTGTTCTTAGGGCAGGGCTAATGCAGAGACAGGAGAGGCTCCAGTCTCAGGTGCTATGGAGGAGACACATCTGGAACTGGAGCCTCTCCTTGCTCTAGTCATCTCCTGCAGTCTGCAGTGGCTCTCTATGAGAAGTCTGCAAAACTCTGCTGTTAGTGTGACAGTTGGCCTTGCTTTGTATTACAGTGCTGACCGCACTCCTGTAGATGCTGTTTACAGCTGATCAGCTGCCAAAGTTGCAGTAAAGCTCCACTAATTGTACCAGCAGACTGGCTCTCCCACTGTAATCTGCAGGGCTGGGTGTCAGTGTCAATCATGGGAGCAACATCAATTCCTCTATATGTTAAAAGTACTCTAACTTTTATGTTTGCTCATTGTTTTATCATATTGGAATTTGCTGATTGCATATACAATTAGCCTTTGTAAACATACGTATCTTTCCAGTATTATTAACTATAGACAATGATAAAACAAATTTGTTTTACACTAAACCAGGGGAAATTTCCGAGTCCAAGAAGCATTAAAAAAGCAAATAGTAGATTAGTTTAAAGTATTTACTAGAGACCCTTTTTATGCATATTGCAGTAGAACCGCAGCACTGCATTGACTTTGACCAACTGACCACAGAAAGTGATCAGACAATGAAATACAAAGATCTTTTTATATGTAAAAAAGATTCTTGCAGGGACGAAGGAGCATCACGACAAATGATTATCACAGATGTATGGTGGGTGGCCAACAATGAGACATAAAAGATCATTATTTTTTCTTTAAATTGATTTCTCATTTTCTGTTGGCTGCAGGTACACCTGGAGAGAGCCTATTGTACCTGTATCCAATCTGTCCTTTGCTACCTATGCTACAAGATGGAGGATCTCATAGATTAGAGTTAGGACTGCACTACACCGAGGGGCCTTGACGAGGCAGTGCGGCTTCCACATATTTTGCAAAAACTGTGCAACTAAAACCTCTGTTTTTAACGCTAACAGTTAGACAGTGTACTTTGTTTTTTTGCAGGCTGGCTGGTGTGTGCTGGGATTTTTTGTGTGGAAGTGGTGCATGCTGTGTTCCTTTCGTCTGTGGCTGGTTTTGTGGTGGACGCTCGATCAGCCTGCTGAGTATTTTATACTTACTTGTAAGTTACTACATTTTAATAAATATTTTATCTCGATATACTACACTATTGTATCCCTTTTCCCTTTGTGGTGTGGATCGTTTAATCAAGTGGGGGAGCTCCTTGGATTTCGTTTGGTGTTTGAGAGGAGAGATGATTACCGACATCCAAAGTGACAGCTGGAGGATCGCTATTGAAGGAGAGCACGCTCACCAATGCGCAGTATGACCATTTGAATGCATGGTCAGAAACTTCTGGTGAGTGTTTTTATTTTCTCATTATATATCAGAGGAGATCGATCATTGAAGGAAGATACTCTGGGATTTTCTTAGAGGCATTAGTTCCCAAATCGCAGTGTATCCTGGGGCCGAAGCTAGCCGAAGGATCACCCGAAGCTACGGCTAGATCCTTCGGCAGCTTAGTGAATAGACCCCTATGAGTTCAAATGGGCTTCAAAACTATTTTAGAGAAGTAAATATAAATTATTGCATATTGAAATTTCTTTTTGAGCCAGCAGGTGAACTTTTAGGCTCCTTTTCACATTTTATAGTCTCCTATAGAGAAAATGACAGGGCCAGCTTCATGCTGTTTAATGGTGGTTGGAGGTGCTGGCAAATGCACTGGCACTGAGGTGCCACACAGGGCAGGGTGGTAGCAGCAGCCCCCTAGGTGCAGGCAATAAAGAGATGCATTGTTTGCGTGCAGGTCATTTGGGTGACTGGAAAGTTCCAACAGCACTCATCAGAGACAGTGGTGTGGGACCAGTGCAGTGTCTCCTCACATTTCTCTGGTAAGGAACCACTAAGATCTTTAATACCTTCAGCGGTCTGTAAGGTGTATTCTTTCAACTGGCCATCAAAAAAGGTACATTCTTCCCAATGACAACCCAATATAAAGAGGCATTCTTTCCACTGAACACAAATGCAAAGGGACATTTTTGATATTAACAATGTGAGAGGAACAATCTTCTAATCATCACAAAAATAAGTAGGCACTTTGTCACTGACCAAAAATAAAAAGGGCCACTTCTCCACTGATGACCAATGTAAAGGAGCACTACACTGATCACTATGTAAGGAAGGTTTATGCTTACCGCTAATGTAAGACTGATCACCATGTATGGTGTCTACACTGAAAAACAATGTAAGGAGGCACTTCTTGCAATGACCACCAATTTAAGGAGGTATTACATGGACCACCAATGTAAGAGGCACTACATTGACAACCAATGGAGGGGGACAAAACCTTGACCACCAGCGTAATTAAGCAAAGCAGTGACTACCAGTGCAAGATGACAAAGCACTGATCACCAATCTAAGGGGGTACAACACTAACCACTAATGTGAGAAGGTACTTTGCCACTAATCACCATTGTAAGATTCTCCACTGACCGCCAGCCAAAATAATTTAGTCATACTGAGAGAGTTTAAAAATGATCTGTTCTGGGTATGAAATATACTAGAGGCACCACTTGCTGACCATGTTTGGTAGGATGTTTCTCCTCCTGAAGACACTATGCCTCAGACTTTGGGAATGTATTTCCAGTTGGCACTAATGATATCTGTTGAGTGGTTTGTTTATACTAAATTCCTGTTTTATTTCTTTCTGTGTGCACTATTTGTCCTTCCTTTCAACCTCTGTCGGGTTCGTTCTCTATCTCTCTCTCACTCTCTCTCTGCATAGTCTTGCTTCACCTAGCATTGCCTTGTTATTTCCTTCTTTGGTTTGCAATTTGCATTTAGTTTTGCTGAATGTATATTTATGAGAATGATTTTCTTTGTTTTATTTGTGTGTGTATTGTATATGCTTTAAATAAATAGCCTCATATCTCCTTGTCTTTTGCCTTTCTTTTAGCGTAAACTGACAAATAATTTTTAGAAATCAATATCTATTGTGTGGTAGGAATCATTTTTTTTCTCCTCCTGATTCTAAGCTTATATATGTTTACCATTTTTAAAAAAAGAAGGCAATCTGTTCCATATAAAAGGTAATATAAAAAGGTTTTATACTAATTTTCCTCCTTTATTTTATGGCCAGGACTAAAAAACAAAAAAACATTTTACAGTGTTTAGAGACAGAGTACCCAGATTACACAGTTTTTAATTCTCTTAACACCCCTCTGCTAGGATTACCTCTTTTCCATTTTAAAATCTTCTCGTTTTATTTGTTAACCAGTCTTAAAATACTGTAACAGGTGGTGAAGCAAGCTTATACAATATTACTTTGTTACTATTAGTGATGGCAAAAATAGAAAAATAGCTAGATGACTATACATAGAAAAAAAGCTCAGGATTATTTACACACAGAACTGAATGACTCAGAGCAGTGGCTAATGACTTTTTGGATGTCGTTTATAGATCGTGCTTGAAAAGAGATGATTACTGCTTGTCTGTTGCTTTAGATAACTAATAGTGCTCTAGGAATTCTTTGCCTCAGATATAAAATATCAGTTTTACATTTTTTAACTCTAAAAAATAAAAATAAAAAAAATAATATTGACCTCAAAGCATTATAGTTTCACTTTTAAGAATCTTTATTAATTTTGCAAATCTAAGTTCTAACCATGAACTAAACTCTTTTGTTTTTATAATGTAGAACCAGCTGATGAACATCTAAGAATAACAGATGCAAAAAAATGTATAATGAGCTTCTTGCAATATGCAAACACAGATGAAACATTGAAGATGAGCTCTTATAAATCACTGCTCTGCCAAATGTCTGCAATTGTTCCCATATCTGCTTTTGTAATCAGCCATAAGCATCAGCGTTTAAAAAAAAAAAATTAAAAGAGGTAAATGCTATAATTCATGCACATTAACATGTACCCACGTGGTTTCTATGCCCCATCTATCTTCTATGAACTAAAAAACAACTCCATTCTGTGCAATAAAGATGAGGAGAGGGAAATTTGTCAGGAGGGCAGCCTAGGGAGTAAGCACTGCTTCTCCATAGATACTGTATGGTGAGTGAGCACTGAGTTAGCACAGCTGTTCTCAACCTGTGGGTCTCACTGTTGAGGGGGTCGCAGCATCCACTTCTGCTGCGCTAGGTGAGGGGCTCCTCAGCCTCCTCCTAACGCAGCAGTGTCAGTCAGCGGGAGGACAGCAGAGGCTGTGAATATAAAAGTGCCGCTATACACACTCTTTAGCCGCTGCAGCGATATCTAGTGGCCGGGGAGTGTGTAGAGCAGGGCTTTTCTATTCACAGCCGCTGCTGTCCTCCGGCCTCCCATGCAATGTGAGCTCTGCAGCAGGTGGGCGTCTAAGCAGTGCTGGGGCTGAGAAGGCTGCATGGAGACAGAGCAGGCAAGCAGGTAGCAGGGGCTGGGGAGGGTTTGCATTCTTGTGAGTGTGCTTCTATTTTTAGTCCCAAGTCCAACGCCTTACTAATTCTGGAGTCCAGCACTCCGTTGGGGGGGCACCATAACTTGGCAAATGTTACCAATGCCCTAGAAAGGTTGAGAACCACTGCCTTAGGACAAGAAGTGTAATAATGGCAGGAGGAGCAGGTGAAAATCAAGAGAAAAGAGGCTGAAAAAGGAAACTAATTTACTAACCACACACTGAAGGACTGGAAAACTGCACTATAATACATTTTTGTTTTTAAATATGCTTTAACCCCTTCGTGACGGGAGACGTACACTGTACGTCCAGCCACAAAGGGACCATATGACTCGACACGTACACTGTACGTGACGAGTTATTTGCTGCACTAGAAGGCTGCTAACCGCTGAGAATCAGCGGTTACCTTTCAGTAATAGATGTCTAACTATCTAGAGATCCATTACTGAAAGGGTTAACCTTTTTCAGACACCCGATACCTTAATATCGGGTGTCTGAGAGTCACAGCAAAGCAGACACACATGTCGGCTTTTGCCGGCATTCTGACAGCTCGTATAGATCGAGAGATATCTCTCTCAAGCTATACTGGCTTTTTTTTTTTTTATCTTTTGACTTTCAAGAATAGATACAAAATGTTATGTATTAGACACATAATGTATCTATTCTTGAAAGTAGAATGTTTAAGTTTTCTGAAACATTCACTGACAGCTGAATCCTGAACTGCTGCAGGATCAGTGTCACTAACTTATTATCGGCTGTTCTGAAGTTTGAAGCAGCCTGATAATAAAAAAAAATGTATTAATTTATCAAGCAGTAATAGTGAGATTAATTCACAATGACTGCCTGATATAATTAAATAAATAAAATTTGTCAGTATAAAAAAAGTGAAAAGTGTAAATAAATTAAAAAAAATAGTGAAAAGTGTAAAAAAATTAAAAATAAGGGACAAATAAATGAATGTATGTATTGCATTTTTTTTTAGCTGTGCTGGTTTTGTTAAAAAAAAATACTACGTTTTTTCCTCTTTTTTTAATTTGTATTTGTCCTAAGTGAGGCGTTAGACACACATATGTGATATAAATATATAGCCCTATCTGTCCTCTAAAAAACAATATATAATATGTGTGGGTGCACTTTGTAAGAAAGTATATTACTGACGTGGAAGAATCACACAGCAAAAATGTCAAAAGTGTATCAGTCATTTACGAACAGAAACCAAAAACAAGCTCAGTCATGAAGGGGTTAAAGAAAAACTCTTACCAGAAGTTAAAAAGGGTTGTTAAAGCCCCTCTGGGACCCAGTGCACATAGTACTTGTCTCCATTAAGCTCCACCCCAGGCATAAACCCAAATTATGGGCATTCCTATCGAGGGGGGTAAAGGCAGCTCTGAATCCACTGCCCCCTCGTATTTCTGCACCCCTCTTTGCTATGCAGACTTTAAACAAATACACAAGCCGACAACAGCACACACTAGCAGCTACTACACTAGTCTTTTCTTAGACAAATGTAGTACCTGCCAACATTTTCTGTTGTTGGCTTGTGTTTTTGTGAAGTGCTGCTCCCCAGCTTCTGTCATTCAAACAACACAACTACTACTGTAATAATTTCCTCAGAACTAGCCAGTTGCTGAGGGTGGTTGCACGTTCAGTCTTAACAGTACGGGGGGTGGCATTCTGGTGCTGGTTGTGTGGTGCCCCCCACAACCAGCAGCATGGGGACAAGGTGCTTTTCCAGGGGTCTCCACCTGGAAAAGCACCCTCCCAATGCTGAGGGCATGTGGCCTGGTATGGTGGAGGTGGGGTGCTCACTCGTCCCCCCCCCCCTTTCCTGCCCTGACAGGCTGCTTCCGGGATTTAAGAGGGACCCCATTTTTTTAAAATACTTTTTTTGGCGTTGGGGCTTCCCGTTAAAATTCCTACCAGACCTAAAGGGTCTGGTATGAATTGCCGGGAAACTGTTTTTTTTTTCCGTCTTACATGAGGGGTCCCCCATAACATTCCTATCAGACCTAATGGGTCTGGTATGAATTGGGGGGGAACCCACGCTGTTTGTTTTTTCACTTTTCTGCAACAAATATAGTTGGTAAAGATCATTTAACTCATCCGAAATTAACGAAATTCGGATTTCTCGGAATCGGAAACCTGAAACAAATGGACTTTTAGAACCGAAACCTGAAAAACGAAATAACGAAACATGCGAAACAAAATGAAATGAAACTAAACACATTTTTTGCCAGCTACATGTCTAAATCAGACCACAGTACTCGTAGCCCCCTGCAATTCAAAAAATATTTCACAAATTGAATTGCAATGTGTGAGACCAGCCTAGGAGTGCTAAACAAATTGAATGTTAGAGGAAAAGCCATTAACACTTTTACTGCATAAAGCAGGCATACAGCAGATCAGAACTGCTTCCAGCTGGTCAGCTCAGTATGCCTTACTTTGGCTACATTCCCCTCTGCTATAAGCTCATGGTCACTGCAGCGACCATATACTTGTAGCAGAATATGGTCATCTAGACTGAACTACTTAATGAATATCTGTCATCAGTGGCTGACAGGCTGCTGTCTGCAGCCATTTAAAATGGTGATAGCAAAGAAATTAACAAAAAGGTTTAACAAATAAAGTTGAACATAAAATGTAAAAACACGCCCCATAAAATTTTGAAAATTAGCTTTCCCTCCGTATACTCAATAATAAAGCAAACACTACATAAAAAACGATGATTGCGCCACACAATAGGTATTGCCGCATACGCCAGAGTGACAGCAAAAGTTCTGGGGCCAATATTTAAAATTGACTCTAAACTGATGACCTCTACAGGCTTTTAAAGCATTGCTAATGGACAATTTGGGGTACCGTAGTTTGTTGCTATGTCACATGCACACACAATTTTTAAGCTTAGCATGCTGGGTATCTTTTTACTTGGCATAACCTCCTGTTCTATATTTTATTAAAAGAAATAGGTATTATATTGTGTTTTGTGCACTAAAATTAACTTATGTGTATCTTTACTGAAATATTGGGCTTGATGGCATTGCGCTAATATCATGCGACATAAAAACTTTAAACTACTACCATTTTATTCTACAGGTTCTCTGCTTTCGGGAAATTTAGGGGGGTTTTAAGTAGTTCTCAGGCCCAAAATGTGGATTATGACATATGTGCAAAAAACTTAAAAAACTATTCTGGCAGTGAAAGGAGGGCGGATGGATAAAAAAAACACAAAGATCAGAGGGGGGTCGCAGAAAAGGCCAACTGCAGCACAGCAGAGTTTTGATTACTTTCTCATCACTAGTACAATTACAGTAGGTATAGTACTCAATAAAATTTAAATGAGTTGAAAAAATATATACATTCTAAAAAAATGTACAGTCAGAGATCCATTGCATAGAAACAGCAAAAACAGAATTACCTGGAATGTGAGGACAACTCACTAAAATCTCCAATGCTTCCATCTGCTGTGTAACTGTGGACATAATATAGGTTTCCATGGTCATTATCTGGTACTGCATCCTCTGAGGAGTTGTTCCACGGAACCATCTGTTCTGCTATATGGTGTGATCTGCTGCTTGTATGAAGTACTGAAGCCATAGCTTGTGAGGGCATGCTGCATGGTGCTGTATCAATCCCACTGTCTGTTGAGGCTCCTTTGATATATGTCAAGCCAAGTAATTCAGGGTCCATGAGGTCTCCAGAACAGTATGACTTCTCATCACTATTGCTAGATGCACTGCTGGAAAGAGTATTACTGCTTGAATGGGTCAAACAACTCCGATCTGTAATCTGGAACATTTAGAGACAAAAATACCATATATGTAGGTACCAGATATACATTTACATTAGAGTGAATTTCAATACAATTTTAAAATTCACCCAAAAACACATTTTAACAGCATTTTATTTTTAAAAATATTTTTGAAAAATCAGCTGTTTTTGTACCTTGAAAGCTTTCACATGAGAGTGTGTTGGTACAGTATTACTCATCGTTTTGTCATGTATATCAAATATTCACAAAGGTCTGCTCTGAAAGGTAAACAAAGGGGCGGAGCGAGTCTGCTCGGATCAAGGGTCTGGTAAGGGATTTTGGGGGAACCCCACGCATTTTTGTTTGACATGAAAAAATTCGGATACGTTCAACTTCGTTATTTGTTTCATTCGGACGCATCCAAATGTCCGAAATTGTAGGTTGACATTCGGACGAGAATGAATGCACATGTCCACTCTGGTTAATACAATATACAGATATGAAAGCTGAAGTAGTTAAAGTGTATCTAAAGCCAAATCCTTTTCTTTGTCTGTTGCTGCGGCTAAAAAAACAAATACTATCCACAAATGAAAAAAGTGAAAGTGTCAAAGTAAGAAATCTATATAGGATCAAACAGAGATCACCGTGCACATGCACAACACCCAACGGAGAAGATTTTTAGAAGAAGCTCTTCAGTGCTAAGGAGGCCCTACAGTCATGATCTAATCAGAGCAGGCACAGGTGAGCAAGTATTTTAAAAAGGGCTGAAAACACATATTAATGTGTTTGCACTAAAAGTACATTTACACTCTATACTCAGTTATAAGCGAATTCACTTCTCAGAGCGGTATTCACATATAATAGGCCTGATTACTCTGCAGCGGAAGTTTGGAGCTTTGTTCAAAAAAGTCCCCTATGCTGGGCACACACCTTACAACCATCGCAAGACTCTTGTCTTGCGATGGTTGTAAGGTAATTAAAAGAACGTACGATCTGCCCATCTTGGACAGGCAGATCGTACTTGCGATGATCGCAAGAGCACACCGCTGAGGGGTGGGCTTCCGATGACCGCAATGCTGAACGGGCAGTGTGAGCTTGCGCACACCGGCCCGCCCCGCTTTTATCTTACGAACATGCTATACACCCGCCGAAAATCGTACGATTCTCGGCGGGTTTTCGAACATGTTCCTAAGATAAAAGTTGTGCAACCTTACAGTAGCAGAGGCCGCACGCCTTCCACACACCTTGCGATAATCGTACGATCGCGGGATTTCCCACGATTATCGTACGATTATCGCAAGGTGTGTGGGCACCTTTATGTACTCATGGTGGTCAGTGTATCTACTAACAATGAGATCAATTAACTAAAAGTTATCTCATGAGATAAAATAGTCACGTGACCTGTTTTTTTTTAGTGAAATATCACATGAGATAAGCAAAAAGTCAATTCATTAAAAACATATGAGATAAATAAAGCAAAAACTGAAAAATATGAGATAAATATCACATGAAATAAATTTAAGTCAAGTAAAAAAAAAAAAAGGTTTGAGTTAATTATCACCTGGCTGAGGCAGTCAGTATTTGCAGTCTGTCAGCCTGTGGCCTTGTAAAAGTGTTCATATCCACTAATATGAGGCAACAGAAGTATTTGAGAAGACATTGCAGGAATATAAATCAATCCGGGGGAGGATACAGAGAAAAATGCCACCTTAATGGCAGAAATGGGACCAAATAAAAAGCGTTTTTATGCCGTGGATGGTTTTTAGTGTTATGGGTGCAAACGGGTGCAACCATGTGCCTTTTTTCACTGGAAATGACCGTATTAAAAGAAAAAGGTGAAAAATAAAGCCTAAAGTTTGAGATAAATATCACATGATTTGAAGAAATATCTCATTTGGTAAATAAATCAAAGATTTTAGTGAATTGTACACTCAAGAGTTAAATAACTCTTGAGTTTTTTTACCTTGACATTTCATGGGGTCTTTAGCTCTGAGAGAACTAGGCCCAATCTCTTTAATTGCTTTCCAAGCATCCATGGGGTCTGCCTGCCCTGAGCAGCAGCTGGTCAGCAAGAGTAATGTCATTAGGTACAACTCCGCACAAGATTAAAAAGAACCACAGCAGTCCAATTTTTTGATTATGTTGTAGTAAAAGAGAGGGTCAGAGCCAAACAGACAAGCAAACATATTGATAAGCCTTAAAAAGATTTTCTTTCTTTACTTATTATATGATCAAGGCTAGCAAATATATTTTTAATCCTTTCTGCTCACATAAATATAACATTGTGCATATTAATATTTTGTCTTTTCATAGTATGCAACCAACAGCTTTTCACTTTTTTTCCAAGCTATCATTAGCTGAAAACCCAAAAAGGTAAAAAAAAAAGAGCTGAGGAGTCAAAGCAGTGATTCACCACCCTCGCTCATTATTTTCACAATTCATTCCAGTTCCATGTCCATGAAATTCAGTTTAGGACCTAGTACCCAAAACTGACCTGGATATTCTTTGTGCAGTGCAAAATGTTGACCCTCTCTTGAGTTTTTGTTCTTTTCATACAAAAGTATCTTGGTAGCTTTAGAAGCTGCATGATGTTATTGCCTGTGACTTACAAGTACACCGAGATGTTTCGTTCCCACTCACTGCAAAAATCTCCCTCGAGTTTTATGTCCCATGCATATTTGTAGCCCTCAAACGTTTCCACATTGAAATACATTTTCCATTTATCTATTGTATCGAAGTCATCTTACATGGATCGTAAAACACTAGAGGACCGTTGACTAATAGCACGAGTACATTTCTTGCTCCTATCTTCTCCTAGTTTATAAAATTGTCAGGTCTACTTATTTGTTTCCACTACCTCTTAGTATTGATGTCATTATGTTGTTATTAACATGTTTTGATAGAGATTTATGGGTTAAACTCGTTTATCTAATTGTTATACCACTTATTCTATTAGGTTTGTATAGATGGAAGTTGTGAATTTGATGTAAGCCAACATAGTGAGGTTGTTTACCACAGGCTGATCACTTTGCAAGTTAATTTTCACAAGGGAATTTTCCCTTAGCTTAGTGAATGGGGTGAAACTATGCTGACTTCTTTTATCCAATCATGTGCAAGAAAAAATATTGTTTTTAAAAAAAAAGTTTCCCTGCACATGATTAGATAGTCTTTGCAAAGTTAATTTCCTCCACCTTCACTAAGGCCTATTTGCCTTTAGTAAATCAATCCCACTAAGTTAACCTTTTCTAGCTTTCTTCAGTTCCTTTGCATTGAAGGCTTTGGGCCTAAAAATCGAAATATAGCATAAATCTGCAGAAGAACTAAAGATGTTTGTGCTGAATTTACCAAGGTTGTTATCATGCAATGATCTATTTTTATATCTCGTTTTCTAAAGAAAAGGCTTATAGAAACAAGTAGTTGTATATATAGATAGATAGATAGATCTATATCTATCTATCTATATATAGATAGATATAGATCTATCTATCTATCTATATATACATATACACATACACATACACATACATACATACATACATATATACACAATAACATAATTTTCATGAAAGTTACAAAACTTGTGTATTTATGCACACAAAAGCAAAAGTGTCACTATTTATATTCCATAAGCTATACTGTAAACCTTACTCTTAATTGTATCATTCATGTAATGCTAAACATAAGAGTACTAAATGGAAAATCCAAACTTGCCCTTAGCTATAGTAAATATGATAAAAGAAGCAGCATAAGCCATTCCAAACAATAAGGGGTCTGCTTCAATCCACAAAATCTTTGCAGTGTTCTAATGTGTTCAGCCTTAGGTAGACAAAGTGCTTCATGCTTATATTCTCTATTTACCATAAAAAACTTTTTTTCTTCCCCCCATACATTTAATCTTATCAAAAAACATTAAATAATGATTTTCTTAAGTGTAAACATATTTTCCCCCTTTTTTAAGTTTGTAACTGATTTTTGTATGTGTGTATTCAATGGATACAATTTTAACACAGGGAGAACATGCAAACTCCATGCAGATAGCAACTGGGCTGGTATTTGAACTAAGGAATCCAGTGCTGGAAGGCAGCAGTGCTAACTAGTAGATAGTGATGCACCGATACAGAAACCAGTATCGGTATTGGTTTCGATACCGAGTATTTGGGCAAGTACTCGTACTTGTAATTACCCCCGATACCAGAACTTCCGGTCACAGTGCCGCGGGAGAACATGGAACTGACTTCCCGGCCAATTAGGGAAACTGGGCAGCGGGTAATAACTCGCCACCTGGCTTCATGATCACCCGGGAAGTCGGCTCCATCCTGTTTTGCTGGCCCGATGATGATTGACTGGGAAGCCAGTGTCCCGGCCAATCAGCATCGAGCTGGCCAAACAACATGAAGTCTGCTTCCCGGGCAATCAAGAAGCCTGGCGGCGGGTAATGACACGCCGCCCAGCTTCCTGATTGCTCGGGAAGCCAGCTCCATGCTAGCGGAAGTACCGATATTGGAACTCCATATTGGGAGTACCGAAAGCTAAATATCAGTACTCATACTCAATACCAACAAAAGGGTATACTAGTAGGCCACTATGCTGGGAAAGCAAAGTGGTTAAATATATCAATTATTCTGTGCCAATATGAAAAAATAATGACAGTTGTCAGAAGGAGATTAGTATGAGACATCCACACCTTGAAAATAAAAGAAAAAGTTATAAGATGAATTGGAACAAATTGGAACATTAGGGGAATATTCAGTTACCAGCTGTAGCCACTGAAAACCTACAGTGCTAAATAACTCAAATGATTGCTAAAATTTAAAAAAATGAAAATAGCCTTCCCAACTTTAAAGCCTGAGGTATAAAGAAAACACATCTGCAACAATAGCAAAGGAGGCAGACATAGTACTAGCAACAGCAAGCAGTACGACTTGCTTGAGCAAAGGGTTGTTGGGTCTGCAAACTGGACCATAGGCCCATCTATGTGCTTTCTTGTTGTCCAGCATCCTTTTAAAAACAGTTTAGTGCAGAGGTTTGCATTACTATACAAATGCACAAAATAGTCTGCCTCTGATGTGGGGAAAAATTAATCAGGTATCGAGTGAACAATTTCAGCTACCTCTTCTCAATATTAATGAATAAATAGACATTGCAGAATGTATCAGCACCACCACCTTTACAGGTATCTGCCAACTAGCCAGGACCACGGTTAAAGACTCTATTCCTGCTCTTTTCTCACTAGCGCTGTTAATTCTGATACCACTATAATGTAGCCCATCAAGCCAAAGAAGAAAAAGTTACATTTACTAATTTCTTTATCATCAACAGCCTCCACGCTAGAGCTACTCCAGGGCTGCTGCTACGAAAACAATTACTGTCACCATCATGCCCAATTTTTACAACACTTAGCAAAATAGAAATTGACCAGAAAAAAAAACTTTACTTCTCTCTAAACAACAGACATAAAACCAAGCCGCAACACTGCCATGCAGGAAAGCATGTTCGGAAAATGAACAAAACCGCCCACAGCTCCCCTGAAATCTACAAGTATATAGAAGATTTGTAAGTATTTATAGATGATGAAAAAAATACTCATCCATCTAACCAACCGCTCAGTGTCTCCAACTCACCTCTGTCAATCCCTACACTGGCTTCCAATAACCCAAAGGATAAAATTCAATTTATTAACAACCACTTACAAAGCCATCCACAACTCTGACCCTGGCTCCCACCCTGACTGCCTTTAGGCGATCCCTTAAAGGAGAACTATGAGGTGACTTTCACTCAACCTCATAGTTTGAGCCGACGTGTGACAATGAAACTGTCACACGTCGGCTCAATAGATCGGGAAGTGTGCGAACACATACCTTCACTCGCTCACTTCTCGATCCTGTCCCTGCAGAGAGCCGTGATTGTCACTCACGGCTCCCTGTAGGGATTTCCCCCCTCCCCGCTCTGATCCTGCAGCCCTGACTGGAGAAACGAACGGGGGAGGGTACAGCTGGCTCTGCCTCTAGATAGGCAGAGCCAGCTGTCAATCATGCAGCTGGGTGGATCTCGACAGTATGCGGTATACTGAGCAGGGTCCCGTGACCCTGAGGAGAACTATGGGGGAAAACACTGACCACATAGTTCACCTTTAAGACTCATCTCTTCAGGGAAGCCTTTCCCACCTCAGCCTAACCACTGAACTATCACTTTCTCAAAGAATTCATCCCCACACAGCTACCTCCTCATGTATCACTTGCCCCTCCCTTTTAGATTGTAAGCCCTCACGGGCAGGGCCCTCCTTACCATCTTGTCTTGAATTGTATTGTGATTGTAATGTCTTCCTTATATTGTAAAGCGCTGTGCAAACTGTTGATGCTATATAAATACTGAATAATAATAATCCTAGATGTTGAAGAAATGTGATTCTCAACCTCTGCTACCATATTGTGGAAATGTGAAATATCATATTATTCATGAATAATTGCCCTAAACAACTGAACAATAAAGTAGAGTAAGCACAAACAGAACATCTAATAAAGATGTCACTATGGGGGTGATTTACTAACCTAAACACACGCACGCACCAGGTGCGTGTGATTTTCACACAGCAAAACGTATTTATCAACCAAAAAGTCTCTAAAAGCATATTTCCACTAATGCCATATATGGAAAAATCATGCACATGATGCATATATAATGCTGCTTCACAGTTTAGACAAAAATGGTTAGCTCATGCATTTACATTCCTGCATTCATCAACGCAAGCAACACAACATAGAGCTAATTTACACAACATCACCTTGCAATTCATGCAAGGCTTTGCACAACACACCTGCTGGGTGTGTACACACTACAAAGGTGTTTAGATTCCACCCATAGATCATGCTGGGAGGGAACACACTACAGAGGTGTATACATGTTCGTGGTGTGTTTATAAGGTGAGTAAATCAACCCCTATGTCTCCATTGCTATATAGAGGGATTTCATTGTTCCATATTTATTTCAACAGACTTAATAAAAGGAGCAATGCAGACAGTAATGACTAGGCCAAAGTGCTCAGTAACAGTTAGTAACCGGTTAGATTATAGTTAAAACATGAAGACAGATGATAAATTGATTGGTTGGTTGTATGCATTAGTTACTGTGCTTTGCCTTACAAAATTATCCTGACACTTTTTCTGATATGGCAGTCAATAAGAAATTCTTAGAAAAGATGATATTTAATTAAAAGTGCAAAAAAAAAAATAGTGGAAGTAACGTAGTAAACATTCTATCCAAACACAGAAATCAGGTTTAAAAGGAACATGTACGTACATGCCATAATATTACAAAACCTGTAATTCAGGGTCATCGAAATGTCTACTTAAAATCATATTATTTTGGAAGGGGCCCCATGAACTATATCCCATATGAGAGTTTCTGCTTTCTATCTTTTAGGGTGAAATTGTAATTTAAGTTCACTATTTTGTCCATTAAAAAGAAAAGGTACAGTGAAGATGAAGCAAAGTTACAAGAGTAGCAGTACATTTAGATCCTCCGGTATACCTGGCATACTGGGAGCGCCCATCCAAATATATCTTCTCTTAACTCATACTTACTCTATCAGTATCTACATATCAGAGAGCAATTTCCAGCATCTAGCTTGGTGATACAAAGACCCGATGCATTTAAGTAGCTGACACCTGAGTTTCTTGAAAGTGCCGGACATGTTGATTATCACCCAGTTCCCTCTCCCATACCTCGATTTACTCAATGTGACCCCATATTTTTGTTAAAAATGGGTATTATATTGTGTTTGTGTGCACTAAAATGAATCTATTTTTTCCTAATATTGATTTAATAAATATTTGTGCTACATTTTTTTAATTCTACAGGGCTTTTTCTTTTAGAAAATATACAGTTGTTTGAGGGTTTAAAGCAATTTTCTATTAAAAACAATTCAGATTTTCACGTGTGGGAAAAATGATCTAATTTTTAATGTTTGCTTAGGATTTTTACATGGATCAAAACAAATATAACTGCTGAAACCCCTGCATTACACTTTGATTTTAAAATGCTTAACTTGATAGAGCACTTTCAGACAGAGTAGACCAAAACCTTTAAAGAAATTCATACTATATTTGTTGCAACTGAATACATTATGATACAAATAAAATTATGATAAAGACCTGACAACAGAAAAAAATACACTCACATGTAAATGTCTGTTTGGAGATATCTTGCTTTCTTTCTGCACAGTCTTTTCTTTAAAGGAACCAATCATTTTATCCGGTGACATAAGCCAGTGTTCTAGTGGTTGAAAAAAAATACATTGTGAGGTGTATGCAGCAAATATAAAATAGTTTACTATGATAAATTAAAGTTACACTATTGCATAAACGTAAATAACCAACTTTTGACATGTGAAGTAGGATAGCTACATAGTTTGGAAACAAGTAGAAAAACAGATTAGCATAGTATATGTAAACCCTAACTGAAGGCATGTAGTTTGCTAAAAGCACTGTGTATCAAACAACGGACATTTAAAAAAAAATACTATTTTTATATTTTTTGCTGATTTTACAAATATTTTTTGCTGAACTTCTGCAATCTCTTTACAGCCACAGTCTGTTTACATGGCATTCCTCAGGGTGGATTCCTCCGGGTTGTCACCTCCTACAAAAAAAAAACCTGAACAAGGATTGCCATGGTAAGATCACTAGGTATTATTTTAATAAACGCTGCAGATTTAAAAACATTGAAAATAACTTTTGATATTATATTTCCATAATCTGACGTTTAAGTGTTTGGGTTTATATATACTTTAATATTACCTTACATGCCTCCAACCCATTTACAATTTGGGTAGCAAGATTACTCCCGTGTAATACAATGAAACGAGCAAACCAATAAATTACAGCTAGATTGACATTTCATCTTCAATTCTTCAATGATTAACCTTCACCTTGCTTGTCCATCTTATAGATAAGATAGATGATGTGGCAGAATTCTATGCCAACAATCTCATATCAATGACAGAAATATATATCTCAACACTCACACTGTATAGGACCCATGGGAAATATTGAATTTCTTTAGCCCCTGCCACCTTCAGAATACCTATTATGAAATGTTATTTTAGAGGTTACTGTCCTTTTCTTTTTTCATTTTATATGTTTCTCCTGTTTCATATTTTTTACATTACCTTGTCAAGTTTTGAAAAACCTGATAAATAATATTTGGGCCACAAAAAAGAAACATGGAAAAACATCTAGAGAAAATCTAAGTCACCGGCACAAAAAAATCATATTAAAATGAGGGAGTGGGGTTTTTAGTAGGGGAGCCTTTGAGTCTATTTATTCAAAACACCCAATCAGGTTAATGGGAAATCATTGTTCTTAACCTCCTTCGAGCCCCGTAATAATTTTTATTTAATAAGGTTCATCGAGTTGGAATAAAACATATGCCACTTAGTATACTACTTACGAAATTGTAAAGCCCAACTGAAGTTTTAAAGCAACTAAATACAAAACAGATGCATAAAGATAAAAGCTGTGCAAAGTCATACCATTATTCTTTATTTAGAGTGAGCCACATCCTGGGTAGAAAAGCCTGTTCTCTGCCAGCATGCTGTAGTGAATTGCATTCGGAGTGGAAGCTGTGGTCTACAATCAGCAAAGCTCATGCTCTTAACTGATTGGAGAGCTCTAACTCTGACTCAGCAGGGGGTGTTTTGAACCTTTACAGAGAAACTACTTTATCCACACCGAGAGCAAATGTCCTTCAATGCAACATGCTGGCAGGGGACAGGCTTTTATACTCAGTCTGTTGCTGCCTTCTAAAAAAAATAAACTCTAAGACTTTGCACAGCTTTTGTTTTAATGCACTTTAAATGTATTTAGCTGATATAAAATAAAACTGCAGTAAGGCTGATGATGGACAGATGGACAGAAACAGTATCTCCATTGTTTATACCATAAATTCAGTTCAGGATAGAAAAGAAATGCAAGAATCTGATAGACATGTTATGGTAAACAACCGCATTGTAGAAGTGATTGGGTGGCTTTACAGATTAGTCAGGTGCAAAACTGTATAAGCTAAAAGTGTTCAACTTAACAATCAAAACCTAACACAAAAAATGTATTGTGGTTACCATATCTTGAAATAATGGTAACCTTTACGATTCTCAGGGTTACTCACTAAGCTGCCGATGGCAGCCGAGTGAATAACTGAGCCGAAGTGAACAGAGCAGAACGACGTTCGGCTATTCACTCCGTTTTGGTACGGCTGAAGTGCAGAAGGACTTCGACTCAGCCGATCCAGCATCTGGATCGGCTGAGCCAAAGCTCTGGCAGCTCACTTGCTGCCGTTCGCCAGTATTTTCATAGGGGCGGAACGGAAGTGAGTGAATAGCCGAATGCTGCAGAGCGGCATTCAGCTCAGCTATTCTGGTCGGTACCTCCGTGGTTCCCAAGCAGAATAGAACATCAGTAAAAAGAAGGTTTAATTAAAAAAACATTTGCAAAATGACTTTCAAAATGTTTTTAAAAATGTAGATTTAAAAAAATATATATTTTAATTAAAAGAAAAAACACAATTCGGCAGAGCTAGCAGTGACAGCTATCTCCGCCCAACTGTTTTCTATTGGCTGGCACCTGCTAGAGTCTTTTAGCAGGTCCTGGCCAATGGACAACTGGGCGGAGACGGCCATGACGTCACAGGCGGCTCTGCCCAGTTGTATTTGTTAAATGACAGATCAGTGTCCCCAGGTTATTTGGGGGGCGCTGATCTGTCATTACAATTGGCTGGCTCCATCCAGCTGTCATTTGCGGGGAGAACGGCCGGCCTTCGGCAGGCTGTTCGCCCAGCTTCGGGAGCTGTACGGGCTATAGCGAATAGCCCGTACAGCAGCCCTTCGGTTCGAGTGAACCAAAGAGCCCCGGCGGCCGAAGAGAGCTATTACCCCCTCTATAATAGTGTTTTATTTTATTACCTATACAAGTCCTTGAATTATTTTTGAGTTTATATTGTTTTTTCAACTTTTTTCCAGATTTTTAACATATAAATGCGTGTTTGTAGATGCTTCTATACCTGGCCTGTAAGAGGACACATTGCATACTCTGGGGACAAGTCAAACTGTATGCACATACATAAAATAAGAGGTCTCAAAATACACTCTGGAACAATTAACACACTGGAACAGCAAAATATCTGAAAGGGCATAAATCATAGGCATTACCTACTGTCATGTTTTCTCAGCAACTTTTTCAGCTAATACTGCTAAGGAATATCTTTTTTTTCCTTTGCCATCTCTTCTCCACATTACTTTTCTACTAAAACTGCTGAGGAATCATTTATTTTCTTGATCGGTTCTAAAACATACCCTCTCACATGTTCAGTACTTTCAGTTTTTTTAACTCTTACATTTTTTAAATTGAAGTTTAACGTTTTTCTATATCCAAAAACAAAAAATACTCCTGTAAAAGTTTAATTACTATTAAGAGAAGTTCCAAACTTAAATCAGTGAAAACTTATTTCTTTCTATATTACATCAATACGTGGGAATTCTGCCAGTTCATAGGACTTCTTCCTGCAGGGTGACAACACTATTTTGCCTGCAGTGATTTCACTGCAGCAATGTCACCCTGTACAGCTGTGTTCCTATGCATATTGAGGAGTAGGATTACCAGCTTGGCCATTGCAGATTAACCTTCCCCTCTCTGCTATTTAATGCAGGACTAGTATCTAAAGGGTTGCATTTGGAGGAAGTGACACAGGGCAACCTCTTGGATCTCAACTCTGAACTGCAGAGTGAAGACCTCCACATAATGATACAAATGATGTCACAAAGTAAAGAAGAAGATTTCTTCATTCAAAGTGATGGTAAATAATAAAAAGACCGGAATAGCATTTACAGGAGAAGGAGTACAATTGTAAAATAACATTTTTGAGTGCAGATGGGCTTTAAATATGTACTCTGGGAAAATCACAAACTTACCCTTGCTGTGGGCCTACCCCTGCACTGCATGGGCTACGTGCTCATTTTGTCTAGGGGGCTCAAATAAAGTAGTTTTACTCACCTGATCCACCTGCAGTTGGCATTCAACCTCACCCCCTCTCTGCTTCAGCTATGGAATGTCCCTCAGAGCCCTCATGTCTAATGCAAGTCAATGGACCTGCATAGGATGTGATGATATCAGGAATCCTTAGACCATTGGAGCCCAGGGGAGAAGGGGCTTCAGGGACCAGTTTAGCAGCCCGGAGGGAGTCAGCAGAACTGAGGATCAAGTCAGTAAATCTGCTTTATTTGAGTGCCCTAGACAGTGGGACTAGGCAAGGGTAGCCCCACTGCAAGGGTACGTTTGTGATTTTTTTTTTTCCCCCAGAGTTCTTCTTTAAGTTCTATCAAAAAAAAGTAATGTTTAGGTCTAAGTACAAAAAATATTTAGTAACCTGTCTGTTAACTGTGAGTATAAAAAAAAAAGTATTTTTACCCTAGGCAAAAACGAGCAGTGAACCCTTGAAGAGTGGGGGTAGCCCCACTGCAAGGGTTAATAACTTTTCTTCTTTAAAAATTGCAACTTACCTTTTTAGATGTTCTTTTTGTTAATTCCAGGACTGAAAAATCCTGCTTAGTTTTCAGTGTCTGGGGGTTGGGGTATTTTTGTCTCAAATAATCAAACCTGTCTGTACTTTGCTGGCAGATTTTATTATCACTTGGAAACCAGATAAGCAGGACTGTCTGTCCTAGCAAAGGGTTAAAATTGTATTTCTATATGGAGACGATCAGTCCCAAGTCTTTCTATTAGGACAGACAGTTTCCTGTTACTGAAATTGTGAGAGATGCTTGCACAGGCCTGTCAAATGGAGGTAGGAAATATTTTTTAAAATTGTTTTTAGGTATGCTGCGTAAATAGGAACACGTAACAAACATATAGTGGGGATTTTCTCCATTTTGACTGTAAAATTGGAAAATCACTTTAAGAGCGCATTTCTTGCAGGTCTGCAGGTATTTGATTGTACTTGCAGCATCTTTAAATGAATAAAAATGGGAAAATGTGCTTGCATTGCAGATATGTATTGCATGTGTATTTTCTTTCTTTTGCATTGAAATAAAGAGCTCAGTTAACATTACATTACCTGTAAATATTTCTGAATCACTTTGTAGAATGTGCAGTCATGTGTGGCCACCTGCTACCAGGTCAGCCAGAAAATTATATTATGCTTATTCTGGAGCTGTTGTTTTTGATCAAAATCTTTAGTATGAACTGCTGGTTAGGCACCTAAGCTTTAATCAAATGTAGCAGCCTGGGACCAGGAGCGAGCTAACACTGCAGGTCTGCCTCTTGAGAAAACAATTGCATTAAAAGGGAACTATAATCCTTTTTAATCCACCTTTTTAAATCAATGACTCCTTATTTAAAACCCTGTTAAAGGCATAGTCTGTGTTTTGCTGAAGTTAATAAACGCAGCAGTAATGATACATTTAAAAATTTTAATTGACTAACTTTTTGCCGAGGTCTGCAGAGCATTGCGGTCAGTGCGTTATGGGTGCAATGCAAAGGCTCTTACATTGTATACCCCCAGATACAGGTCCATATGGTGGTACAAACCTTTGGTTATGAGGCTGGGGGAAAGTGCTGGCTGGAGTACAATTGCGGTAATATCACCTCCCTGCTGCCAGCGTGCTCTGCCTAGTCCCTCTGCTGCAGTGGCAAAAGGGACTTTTCATTCACTCTCAAAACTCCCCCTTATACCAGACCACTATCTCCAGCTTCTATATTGCTCTAGCTGCCTAATCCAATAAAAGAAAGGAAGAACAGGCTTTGATAACTGCTTAACTGCTCACAACAATGACGCACTTTTTTACAAACACCTCTGATTTTAGTTTCTCCTCCAGTTCTGAACCAACCCCCTGTAGTGCCTCCCCCAGCTTTAGGAAAGCTCCTGAAATTGTGAACCAATTCACTCCACCTATTTCATGCAAGCTTTACAAAATCTGCCCAGTTTAAACACCACAACCTACATAAACCGCCTTGTCACTGCTTACCCAATGTTGCAGCTTTTAATATTTGTCTTTCAAGAAAATAAGCATACCAATAAATGGTCTCAGAATGTAACACACTGGATTGTACACAAGTTGCCAATAGGCAACAAGCTAGCAATCATTACAATATGTGGGCAGCAAACAAACACTCATTGCAAAATGAGTAGTCATGACATTATATGGACAATAAATGAGTAACTATTATAATAACCAGAAAACAAGTAGGTACAGGCAATCAATGCAATGAGGTTGATTTACTAAAGGGAAATAGGATGTTCACTTTGAAAAAGAAATTGTGACAATACATATAGAGGGATAACAAATAGGCCATTGTTACAATATATGGGCAACAAACAAGCAATTGATACATGCCGTGGGCAACAAATGGGAAAAAGTTAAATAACTGGACAACTTATAAGCAATTGTTACCATACATGGGCAACAAACAGGCAATCATTGGCCAAAAATAAGTAGCCATGGTTATACATTTGCAACCAATGGCTAACTGTTATAAAACATTGGCAACAAACAGGCTATTTCAAAATTAAATGGGCAACAATTATTATACATATTATTATAGATGGGTAGTTATTATACTACATGGGAAACAAATGCCCAAATGTCACAATATGTGGAAAACAAATGGGTAATGGTGCCAATACATGGGCAAAAATGGACAATTGTTATATAATAAGTAGGTAGCAAACTGCCCATTGTGATAACACATCAAATAGGCAATTATTAATTAAAAAAAGCTGGCAAACAGGAAATTGTGACAATATTTTAACACTTGGGTAATGACCAAGCAATGGAAGCCTCCCAAGTCACTCTACAGATTTTGTGAAACTGGAGTAGTGACACCCACTTTAAGTTTTAGGGCGGCAATCTGTTGTTACAATCATCTGTCTGACTGGATAAATATTAAATGGATTGCTTACAAAAGCACTCACATTGCACAGTTTAGGCAAGTATAAAAGACAATTGGGGGGGATTTATCAAAACTGGAGCAGTTGGCAACCAATCAGCATCTCTCTTCAGTTTGCTTAGGTAAGATTTGTCTGCCTTTTTTGTCCAATGGGAAAACATTCATTATATCTTTTTAGGCGACACCCACAACTAAAGGAACGTCCTCAAAATGTCAAGTGATGCAGCAGAGTAATAACACTGAAATAATGTATACTGCATGAAGCCATTTCATGAACTAAGTAAGCTTTATTACCAGAATGTTTGAGGGCATCCAAATTCTCTTCACAATCTCCAATTATTTCACATTCTGTTGAAACAAATTCTTGATTTCCATGTAATATTGGTGACTGACACCTAAGAAAAAGTACATAAATTATTAAAATAATTATTTAAGAATATTTAAAAAAGAATGTACAGAGGTGCAAGCAAGAGAGGGAACAAGTACAAAAAAAATGGTTGTATTGCAATGAGTTGTAGGACATTCATGGGCTATTTTTAAATGCAATCAAAACGAATTACTTTTACATAATTAATCCAAATTCAAAGTGACTTTACTGATAATATTTTACAGCATACTTCATATACATATCTAGCTTATGACCCTTAGGAGACCTCTAACACTGTGTCACCAAGACAGTACATATTGTTAACAAAAATATATAAATAGGCACAAGAGTGAGAGTATCAGAGAAATTTGGGAACCAGAGGATAATGACGATTGACTTTCTAAATATTTATATATAAATTATATTGTTTTGGTTTTATATACCTTTATGATTTTATAAAAGGTCTCAAGACAATTTTATAAATATTTTATTTTATGGCCATTTCTCCTAGCTGAAATATATGCTTGTAATGGGTGCTTACAGTATTTTGGCCCTTTACTCCCACTATACTGTGCAACTACAGTCCTATTATTCTGTGAAATCCCCTTCCTATCTGGGGAAAGGACACTGGTTTCTGGGTGGATGAGGAATTCTACAGCTATGAAGGGAAGACCTGTTCTATAGAGCTGTGAGATACCTAGGCCGTGCCATGTTAACAAAAATTGAGTCCATTTTCCCTGGGGGAACATGAACCAGAGAGTGTGTTTCTCCTGGGGTATCTGAGAGAAGGCAGAAGGAGATGATGAAATACCTAATCTGTGGGAAATACTATATTGCAGGTATTGCACAATCTATAGACATCTTTTTATTGGTGGATAACTATGCTTTTGGCGCTCCAAGATACTCTATTATGCTATGATCAAGCCTGTTCCTCATCTCTGGATTATTCTTTTAGAACTTTAGTAAAGATGCAAGAAAAAGCGATGTGTTCTTTGTGTCCAGCAACACTGTAACAGAACCTGTGTGCAGGGGATAACTGATAACAAAGAATGGAAGATGAACCAGAGAGTCAACTGACAAGGCTGGGCGACCACCTAGAAGGAGGTAAATAGAGTAAATAGACCACCTAGAAGGAGGTAAATAGAGATATCTCCTGTGTTGTGAGTTAGGAGAGGAAGCTGACTGTATTTCACAGGGAAATGAAGAGCAGGAGTTGGTCATAGGAGGTAAAAAGGGATCTGATCATGGACTAGAAGGTAGAAAAGAGCTGATTGTAAACCAGGGATAGAGGGGTGGAAAGTGGGGTCTTAGCACAACAAAGACGTGCACTAAGCATTCACAGGAAACAGGATACAGCTTCAGATGGCAGCAAAATACCCACGTTTAAAATTGGATGTTAATGTAAGGGCTCATTACCATGCACAAATATTATTTGTGCTAAGAATACTATATGAAGCATTATTAGACATCACTGTCAACTGGAATATTACTACATACATTTGTATATACTGTTTTTAGTATTCTTACTAGGGATGCACCAATACCAATAGGTGCCGATACCGAGTATTTGGGTACTTGTACTTGCCCAAATGCTCCGATACCTTCCCCGATACTGGAACTTCTGGTCAGAGGAGTATTCCCTCTGACCAGCAGTACCGTAGGGGAACATGGAGCCAGCTTCCCGGGCAATCAGGAAGCCGAGCTGCAAGTAATGACCCGCCTTCCGGCTCCATTCTAATTGGCTGGGAGGGCGGCTTCAGGGCCAAACAGCAATGAGCTGGCCGAACAGCCGACTAGATGCTAATTGTCTGGGAAGCCGGCTTTCCAGGCAATCAGCATTGAGACAGCTTCTTGGTCTATCAGAAAGCTAGGAGGCGGGTCATTACTCGCCACCCGGCTTCCTAATCGGCTTACCAGCCAATCACAATTGAGCAGGCCAAACAACATGGAGCCGGCTTCCTGGGCAATCAGGAAGCAGGCAGCATGTCATTACCCGAAGCCAGCTCCATGCCAGTGGAAGCACCAGTTTCGGTACTTGGTATCGAAAAACGGTATCGGTGCATCCCTAATTACTGCAATTACTTTTTAGCTCTGTTTAATTAGGCAAATTAATCCTTGCCAATGAATTTAAAATGATGGAGTTGATTTACTAAAGGAGTAGAGAATGTTCACGTAGCAAACTAAAGCTTTGTTTACTGTAGATTAAAAAAAAGGATTCTTCCTTATGCATGACTGAAGTGAACACATCTTAATTTGATTCATGTATCTAAGTGAAATCTACAGCTTTGATTATTTCAACACTAAAAGTAATATGTAATATGTGCTTATCGTAAGCAGGTTCCTTCACTTAGGAGCCATTTACTGGAAGGACACTGGTACAATCTACCTCAATATCTGCAGAACAAAAGGAATTTACAATACAATTGCTAACAACCTTGTAATATATATAGAAATGTCATGTATCAGTATGAAAGACATTAGTCACCAGGGAGTGGAAGTGTCTGGCTCTCAGCACCTCATTGCGTGACTATGGGTGTTAGTGACAGCATAGTCTTAACAAATGTACAGATCACATAAATGTGCACACTTCATCACATGCTCCCATGGAAGACAAACATACAAGAGTAGATTTATGTACATCTGTGCGAGCATTTACATATATAATTTAAACTGGTTAAATATCAACAGCTTGAATCCAAGAACTGGTACAGGAATCTATAGTAAATTAGAGCTTAGACCAATGCTGCATACTAATAAGGTGGTTAAGTCACAACAAAGACTTGAAACAACAGTTGCCACTGGGAACACGAACATCTGGCTAGTACACAGCATTTACTGAAAGCAAGCATTATTCTATCTTATAATATTCAGGGTCATTTAGAGTTTAGTACTTCTCTTTAAAGCGATGGTCCAGAGTTTTGATTAATGCACAAACAATGTTTGAAGAAATATTTTGCTAAATATTTACCTCTATATTGTAATAATTTATACAACCAGGAATAATATTATGAAATAAAGAAGGTTAAAACAGACATTGTATAGCATATTACCCATCAAATCCTATATGATGTCTCCATTGAACACTTGCAACAGGCCCTGGGTCACTGGAGGAAGACTGGTTACTTGGTGAACTTCTGTAATGCTGGTTTGCATCATTAATATGGCCCTGGGATATTTGCGGACCTTCAATATCTTGAATTGGCCTGTAAAAAATAAATATAAACATTGAATTATTAGTGCGTAAGGTATGTATATATATATATGTGTGTAAGCCCTCTCCCGTGATGGTCTGCAATCTCACGTTTAGTTAGCTCATTTGTATTAAAAGTATAGTCTATCATGGGAGCGAGCTTGGATCAGTGGCTACTTTACAACACACACAGGTACCATGGGGAACAAAATTAGCCACCCCCCAGAAGGAAGGTCAGTGTCAGCATGAATTCAGAGATGATTTGAGGATCTGCAGCTGAGTGATACACAAATAAGATACATTTCTGTTAGTAGTTAAGGTACTTGAATGCAATAAAATTGAACTCCTGAATCAAGTGTTACATTAATGATGCTTGGGATTGCTGTGTAGGATTCTTGCTTGTTTTATTACATAGATTGATTCTTTTTGTGATTGGTTTCCTTTTTAGGGATGGTGTTGAAATTGGCTGGTGGGGTTGGAAGTGCTTGAAGATTCTTTAGTCATATATAGGAGTACGTGAAACTTTACTCAATTAGAATTACTGCATTGCTGTACCAAATTTAGCAATAACTTTTTAAAAGATTTGTACTACCAAATGATTGTCTGTGAAGGCTCTCATTCATCCAGGTCATGGTATATCTGTAAAAAATAAGTTAAGTCAACTGGACTTGCTGTATTTTTCTTGAAGACGTTTCACTGGTCATCCAACCAACTTTCTCAATTCTCAGAATGACTTGTACAAAAATTATCTGGGAATATATATGGTGAATGTTGCTCCAATCCACATAATCTGTTAATGAGCTAGGGGGTGTTAAAACAGCATTGTATGTGGCTTGAACAGAGATGGGGGGTGAGTGATCTATTGTCTGCCACATACAATGCTGTTTTAACACCTCTCTCTGTGCAGGTGAATAACACCCCCTATCCCCAATTATGGAAATGATGGAAATGCAAATGCAGTCAACACATGGTTGCGACTAACAGATATGCGGAGCAACATTCACCATATTTATTCCGTGAAAATTTTTGTACAAGTCATCCTGAATTGAGAAAGCTGGTTGGATTTTTGTTCTGCTTGCATGGACCCAGGAATTAAAGGTTTTAATGGATATTACCCTAGTGTATGGCCTATATATACACAAATGGACATGTTTTAGTTTTCAGAGTGCCATTCCTTTTCTTATCGCTATGCAGGAGTGCCTTGGGATCCTCAGCTTTCCCAGGAAACAAGCCAGTTAAACCCTAACTTGTCCCCGCAACCTCACTAATCCCTTGTTAAAACAAATTGACTGTTAATAAATGTGCCTAATCAATTATAAATATAGTAAGTAACGCTCTTTTATTTATGTAACATGGGGGGGGGGGGGTCATAGCTGTGCTGCGCTTGGGATAATACCACCACAATACCACCACATTTGCAAAGATGGCACACAAGTCCACTATTACCCAACTGGCTTCAGTTGGTAAATTCAGTAGAATAATGATGTTTATGCACTGGCACCAATGCTCACATAAAATTGTTATTTATTTACCTGTGCATTTTATCCATTAGATCTGGAGATTTAACACAAATCTACAAACTTACTCTGCAGTGTAAAAGGAAAGCTCATTAAAGTAGACAGCTTTCCCTGAAGATATCTGCACAGTTCAAAACGAGTAGGAAATTTAATCCACTTTGTGCTCTCTCGGGCTACAATCTCTGATGTAATCTATTTTTGTTCATTTTTTTACTGCTTTGTGATAAATGCTGCTGTCTTACCAGCACATATGTGGGGTATATTTAATCACATTTTTTCCTCAAGAAAGCTGGCAAATGTAATGGGAGTCTGGATAACATGACTAGAAAGCCTTGGTGATCTTTGCGTATGGAACTGCCTGCTCCTCCCTTACATCGAGACATAATCCAGCTGTACTCTTGGGGGTTATGAATTTTACCATTATGATAGAACTTTGTTCTATGTGCCAAAGACAAAGAAGTCTAATGTACTGAACATGTTGTTAAAAGGATACTTAATGCTGAGGTTTATGCATGTGTATGATACTTGTAGCACAGTAATTAGGAGGATTTTTTGGGTACAAGGACTGTGGTATACGTGTGCATTGTGTACGGTGAGTAGGTGCCAAATCTATTTAACCGTGCCACTGTAACACTGTCACTGCCAGAGCCGCAATTGCTTTTTTCTTTGTTACAAGTTAAAATACACATTTTAGGCTTGAAGATTCCTTAAAGCAGAACTGTGGCCAAAATGTTTCTAAACCCATGCAGTGGTGCTACCCTAATAAAATAACCTATTAAAAAAAAACACAATTTTTTAAAGCCCCCACCCCCACATACTTACCTAAATTTGTACCTCAGGTGCGCCTATGTACGTAAATGACAATTGCGCCACACATGCTGTGCACACCAGAATGAAAGCAATCATTCTAGGGCCATTATTCATGGTAAACTCTAAAAGGATTACCTGTAATGGGTTTTAAATTGTGGCATATGGACAATTTTGAGTTTCAAAGTATGTCGCTGTTTCATGGGCGCACACAATTTTAAGGCCTGACATGTTTGATATGTACTTATTCAACACAACCCCATCTTTTATACTTTATCCAAAAATGTTGTATTAAGTTGTATTTGTGTATTTAAAGGCCAGTGCTGCTGTCAACCCAAGCCTTACATCAGTGGCAGCAAGGGGTTAAGTCACACCCAATATTTAGAGCATGAAGCCACTACCACTTTTTCTGCTCCATGTAATTGACACCAACATATCTCTCTTTCTCAAGTTCTAGATTCGGGACGTATGTACACCTTATAATAAAATAAAGGTCTGTCTGTAGATGGACTTCAAAAATGGCAGAGGACGTTATTGGCAGTTATCGTGCCAAGACTGACTTTGCTTATTATGCTTAATAAAACCCTCCGCTCTTTTGGACATCTGTCCTAGTCTTATGGCATTCCAGATGTGGATGTAGTTCCCTGGCAATAGCAACATTTGTTTTTTGATATATGGATTCCTCTTAGATTTTGCAATTCTACATTCCCGTCAGAAGTCCAGTGAGCTTGAAACTTTCTCGCCACTTTGCCACTGCTGCACCAAAATCTCAATAATTGTTATCAGTCCTGCTCAGGTCATCTCTGTGAACTACAGAACATCCTCTTATGTTTGGAGAAGAGGAGGTGTTCTGTAGTCCTCACATATTTCCTGTCCTAGGATGACAATACTCCTCCTGTATTGATACAGCACAGTGAAAAATTATTGTCTGCTGAAACTGAAAGAAAAAAGGACAAAAAAAAAAGAAAACAAATGCAACCACCACATCTTAGGGCAAGTAAGCTGCACTATATCACATTTTTGTTGGGTTTAGATACACATTAAAAATTACATTAAAATAATACAAACTTTAAGTCTGATTTATTTGTAAATGCCTAAAAGTTCTCATAAATGCATTTTTATTGAAAATAATTGGGTAAAAACTGTTTATTAAATCAACAATGAATAAACATTACCTTGTACTGTCTGACATCTTCCTGCCAAAAGATGTGCTACGAGGAATACCGGCCTGTGATTGTTGAAGAAACTGCTGGCACTGCAACCTGTCAGTACTTCCTAAAACTGGAGAGGCACAAGAATTAAGCTGTCCGACTGGAGTCTGCACACGGTGCCAAGTAGTATTGCGTCTGAAGGGCGTTTTATATTCACACGGCGTGCCTTCATTGTCAACTTTATATTCCACCACTGGCATTCGGCAGAGTTCTGAAAAACCCCTATGTGATCAGAATCAACAAAAGGTTAAGATTTTTAATGCAGCCCTAAAATTCACTTTTCCTATAAAATATATAGGCAGTCTTAGCACTTTACCTTTATTTTTGTATTCATAATAAATAAAAAAAATCTCATGTTAATATTCTAGGTGCATATACTAGAAATTGCTGATCAAAGATCAAACTGGAAAACAACAAAAGTTCTTGTTGGTTAAAGGATAAGTTCACCTTTTGCAAAAATAAAAGAAATGCATGATTAATAATATATATAAAAAATATGCATTTCTTTAATATTTGCATTCAATTCTGGAAAACATTGCAATTGTGATCACTCGATCACAGCTGCAGAGCTCAGGCTGCTGCACATTTTCACCCAGGCAGAGCTTGTACTGAGGGACAGAGTTTCAGTGAGAGAATGGGGGAAAGGACGGCTGGACTTCAAACTACATTAAATCACCTCATACACCGTTCAGCCGTCCTCGCTCTAGGTAGATGCAAGAATATGGGCAGCTCTACCACATTTAACCAGAGGGAAGATGGGCTGGACCCTGTATGAGATGATTTAATGCAGTTTGATGTCCATCCGTCCTTCAACCCATCTCTCCTAACTGAAACTCCGTCCCCAGTACAAGCTCTGCCTGGTGATCACAATTGCAATGCTTTCCAGGCTTGAATGCAAACATTAAAGAAATGCATATTTTTGCATATATTATTAATTATGCATTTCTTTCACCACTTCTGGGCCGCAATATGTCTATAAATGGCAGCCCGCAGAAGTGTTAATGTTAAAACAAGAACACTGCTGCGGCTTGGTGTCGTTTTTAACAGCCAGCAATGGCTGGCTCTATGTGTTGTCTCTCTATTACACAGACCATTTGATTTTCAGCTGCTGGGGTATCCTATACATTTGGATAGTTCCATGGAAGCATTATTTCCTATCACTTTGTTGCACATTTTCCTGTCATGTTTGGATACATGGGCTGTCGGTGTTTCAAGCAAGGGCAGACAGACAGTGACTAAAGCTGAGGATGATAGAAAGGGTGGTATGCAAACCATTTTCTTTGTGTTCACTCTCCTGTTTTTAATGTCACTTAGTAGAACATGATCCTCACACACACCAGAAAATAGCATTTACATTTTGTGCTTGCTAACACATATAACAACTTCAGCAACATTTATTGTAAAAATATAGTTGCACCTCCAATTTAGATTGGCAGGAAGACGAATTGAACACAGTAAATCACCTAACATAAACAATAAATACAATTTAAAAAAATGTAAACTTTGTTAATTCAATGATGTATCCATAGATAGACAAATCTTCTTATTCCCCTTGAAAGGTCTATCCCCATGGAAAACATTGCGTACAAGCACATTGATCACTTTTTGCATAATGTAGTTGAGCAATGAGCACATCATCTATTTATTTATTTTTGCTTTTGTCTACCATTCTATTGTAAGATCTTTAAAAACAAATGCTATTTACATCTTGGTCTACTGAAAGCTTTTTTGTGTGGTCTGAATTGGAGGTACCACTACAACTTTTCATAATTGTTGTGTCTATTTTCTCTGAAATATCTAAAAGAAATTGGATTTTGTACATAGATTGGTCACAGACCTGGTCCAGTGACCAGAGGAAATTACCACATCCCTCATTAGGGTGGCCTGATGATACTCTGCTCTCTCTTCCTGCATGTCCCTTGTTAGCATATGACCAGTACAGCACAATTGATTGGCTCCTTGAACTGTTTCTCCCTGTCATAGTGCTTGTGCACTTCAGTGGATGGTAAGTGAAAATTGCAGGTCAGATCCAGGTACTTATACTTCTTGCATTAAAAACAATGGTTTAATGACGTATTGATGAATCCATAACTGCATAAATTTGGTATTATCATATCTGCCTAGAGTTTACCTGTAAAATTAAAGTTCTCATTTTTGTTAGTTAAAAATTGCTAATATTTCTAAAACTGAAAAAGGCTTTACTGGACATATCAAGTTTAAATTTTCAATTGTAGAAAAGGAAAATGGAAGATCAGTAGCACAGTCTGGCATTGAAAATGCAGAGAAGAGAATTCACACCTCCCTAATGTCACAGTTTTATTTTACCAACTAATGCTATGAAACACCACTCTATTTCTTAACAAATATATAAAAAAGTGAGAAGGAATGTCACATTTCCAGTGACAGCTATGATAACATAGCTTCAATTTCTTTATGACAGAATTAACTTTTGAAATCCTAACTAAATACTTTGTAAAATGAAAAAAAAAGTATAATATGAAAATATAAGTTAACATTGTAATAGCATATTTATTTAGACAAAATGACATCCAATTAATGATAAAAAGTAGGCACTATCAGTGGGTTTTGCTATCTTGTCACATGCAGCCATATTCAATAAAAGACACCAAAGTTCATAGACCACTAAAGGTTTGTAATTGCTAGAATTCTGATGCAGACCACTATTTCCTGCTGTTCGTGTTTCTTTTGGGTAGAACTACCCTTCATACTGCACCTAATTATTCTGTGAGAGAACATTTAGTAAATAAAAGCAAGATACCGTATTAAAAAAAAACATTTCTTGAATAGTGTGGGAAGGATTAAAACCTCTGTCAGGTTTTAAGTGCTGTCAGTTGGGAAGATTTCCACTTTGATGACCAACTACTATGCCACATTTAACTCTTTGATGAGAATGGGCTTGTCTCTACACTTTCCAGCCTCAAGTAAAGTCACAACTGGAAGGGGAGCCTTGCTTTGTGCTAGGAAAGTGCAGAGACAGTGAGATAAGAGCTGTCAATCTTTTTTACTTTTTCAAAATATGACCACTGCTGTATCACTCTCCAAAACACTTCCTCCATGGTTGGGAAGCATGCACTGTACACATCACAAATGTGAGAGCCAATTACAGGGAAACCAGCTGTGAATGTAAGATCTGGTAAACAGTGGTAGACAAGGTTATATACGTATTACAGTGAAGGCTGTCTGTGTGTCTTGGCTCTTTACATGCAGCTGTAGTCTGAGCCAGGAGCGTGAAGGGTGGCTACACTGGGGCTCCAGGAAGACCCGGCAAAGCAGTGGAGTCACCCTTTAGTGTAGCTATAGGAGGGACTGTTCTTGGGAATATCTTCTAGTTCCCCATTTCCAGAAATGGGGGCATGGAGGATGAGATTAAACAGCAATAAACCAAGCATGTGAGTGTTGCTACTGCATTCCATTTAATAGTTCCTGGGTTTAATAACACTTTTAACGCTACTCATTCCGGTCAGCAACTCAAGCAGTAAAGCCAAAAACTTCAGAATACCAGGCAAGGAACTATGTTTACATAAGGAGAGTTCAGAAATGGCAACCTCCATGAGTCTAACATGAATCCCTTTTAAATCTTACAGAAGGAGGGAAATGTCTAACACTGGACTGACAATAACAAGAAAAACAATAATCATTATATTACTGTAAAACCTGTTCTACCCTTGTTACACTTGTTAGGCAATAATGCATTTGCTAAAAATGCTTTTAGCTAATGTTAAAAATGCTTTTATTAAAAAGAGGAAAACACAAGTAAATGATATGTAATAAAACAAAATATTTTAACTAAAATACTTTTAGGTTAATTTAAGGCTGTAATAAAATGTACTGCAAAGACTGAAATATAACCAAAAGGTAGAAAAATTTAATTATTAAAAAAATACCTTCTTGGCAAGCCATCTTCAAACGGTTGTATAATCACCACTTTTACTGTAGATGAAGTACGAAGAAAGTCTATCATTTGTTCATGAGTCAGAGTTGCCACTGCCACCTTGCAAATTTCAACCAAACGGCTCCCTTGCCGTAACCCAGCTTTCCATGCAAACCCAAATGGTTCCACATCAGCAACAATTCCTTCGAAATTTACATGAAAGCCAAGCTGACCGAGACTGTTCCTCCTCAGAATCATTTCTTTGGTTTCACAGCCCCTAGTGACTATCTAGTAACAAGAGGGTTAAAAAAATTAAAAACAGATATCCAATTAATTAAAAAAACAGTCTAGACATAGCATGTTGTATCCTCAACAGTCAGGGTTGTAGCAATTTTCAGTAAACACCACAAAATATTTTAGGCCTAACTTGGAACTTTGTCTTAATTGAACAGCAGAATATCATTTTAAAATAATGAGTGGAATTACTAAATACAGCCAGCCAGTTGTTTTATCTTTGTTCTCTTCAATGTGTGAGCAGCTACTATGCAGTCAAGGATCTGCCACTATGAAAAATGCGGTGCCTGTGCCATGTGCCACAGCACCCTTTAAAACAGACCCCCGTTAAAGCAGAACTCTGGAGAAAAAAATCTTAAGCCTTGCAGTGGGGCTACCCCGCACTGCAAGGGTTAAGTGCTTGTTTGTGTCTAGGTTTAAAAAAAAAAAAGTTATACTTGCCTGATCCCTGGAGCCTCGCTCCTCCTCTACAGTCTAAGGTTCCTAGAGTCATCACATTCTATACAGCGTATAAAACATGAGGATGCCAAGGGACATATCATCACTGCAGCATCAGAAGAGACCGGCTGGAGGGAATGGTGTCACACCCGTCGGATCTGAGGTTCGAGTAAGTATACTGTATGTAACTTTTTCTTATTTAACCTAGAAAAACCTGAACACTCAACCCTTGCAGTGCAGTGCAGGGGTAGCCTCACTGCAAGGATTAAGATATTTTGTTTTCTTTAAAAATCAAAAAAATCTTCAATTTTCCATGAGGTTCACATTTGAGAATGAGATATGAAATAAAGAAAAATGGGAGCACATGGCTGATTAATAAGTAGAAACAGCAATCACAGTTGGGGTCACTGATCACACAGATCTGTTTACAATTGTCCCCCTTTGAACCCCCCTTAGCATTATGTCTAAAGCTGATCCCATATTTGGCAATTATATGACAGATTTGAAGCTTTCCATTAGTTGAATTAAAGAAAAAGTAAAAAAACAGGTGGATCGGCATGGGCCCACTAACCACTGCCCGGCTTCCATTTGTTTGTTTGCCAGGCCCCTGTTCTGCAGTGTGCAGATGTGACAACAGGCTCTATGGAGATGAATGGAAGACCCAAATCTTACACTCAAATCACACAAAACTAGGAAACACTCAAAGCCTCAAGTGGACTTGAGTGGCAAATTGCTGTGGACTGTTTAGTTCTATGCAATGTTGTTTTTAATCAATAACTAATGGAAAGCTTTCAAAATTGCCACAAAACTGCCAATTGTATGGGCAATTCATTTTTGCACATCCATTCCATTAAATCATGCTGATAGTACAGTTTATAGATATACAAACCGTGGCAATGTCTATTGCATCAAATGCATGAAAAAGATTAATTCTTCAGGTTTAGCAGAGCTAGTGGCATAGCCAAACAGAGGGGGGAAAAGAGGCCTTCATATGTAAATGAACACAATTCCCTGCATTTAACACTGTGAAATAAATCAATGTGGTAAAAATAACACATTCAGGCTGCTTTGGTAACAGGATGCCAAAGTACCCCATCCAGTAACGTGGAACTCCAAGCAAACAGCTAAATACATATTTGAAGTAGATACTGTATATGTCCACTGTTTTACCTGCCAATGATTTGTAATTCTGTGCAACCATTGTCATTTATACACCGTTTGCATTTGACTATTTGGAATGTTGCTTTGACAGCATAGCACTTTGTAAGTGCAACAAAAAAAATCAGATTTATTTACGACTCATAGTTGTCTCTGGAAGGGCTGTTATGTGGTAACATACAAGGAGGGAGCAATTGCAGGAATGGCACACACAACATGTCATACACGGTCTCTATACAGGTTGTGGGCTGGATTTAATCAAATAACAGGCACAAGAACAGGGAGAAATCACTATAAAGTGTTGCAGTCTGCATGAGTGTGCAGATGTTTATACACCCAGCAAACGTGATTTCTCCATGTACTTTTTATAACAGACACATGTATTCAGTGCATAAACTGTAGTCCCTATTTGCAATAAGCATGTAAAATCAATAAAACACAGTTTGGTGCCTTATATACAGATAAGGAGCAGTATGTAATATATATGTTCAGATTCTGCATAAAAAAACAATGATAAAAAACTATAATGTGGCAAGCACAGTGATAACACCCTAAGCTACAAAGGTGCATGCGCCAAACTAATGGCAAGCTACAAAACCCATATGCAATGGCCGTGGATCATTTAAGGCACTGACTGGGTATTTAAGATTACAACATGCATGTATCCACAGATACTGTACATGCTATGTGTGTCTAGTCATGGACGCTGGCAGCATATACGCTTCACTATGATACATAAAGAGACCCACCACAAATACAGGGCACGTTTTAGGAACTTTGGCTGGGTGACCCTTCGTTCCCCTCTATGGATACATGTGTGCGCTTCCCTACTGGCAGCGGTAACCCCATTTAATAAATTGTTGTGTAACCATTTATGTATGCTCATTTTGATACATTGATAAGTGGCCCTAACTTCCTGAAGAAGCAGAGAATGTGAAACCAGTTGTAATCTGGACCTCTCCCGATAATTTTAGTAATAGTGGGTTTTTGTGACCCAATTTTTTCCATATTATGGGACATCACTATTTTCCAACTGTCAACTGTTATGTAGCAAGTCAAGGGGGCACTTTATGTCCAATCAAACATGCTGATGGTCTTCAACATATATGTATGGTTCACTGACAATGATTTTATATGTTTTTATGGATTTTTATCATGTCTTAATAAAAGTTTGAGAATTGTATGCATTTTTGTGTATACCTCACATTGTGGTTAATGTCATCTGGAAAAAACCCCATTGTTTGTATGGTATTTGAGCAATTTGATAGATATAAGGATGTGATGTCAAAAAGGTTTGGGAATCCTACTTACTAGTTTTGAAAGATTCATACCTTGGATTACTTGCCTATACCTATATGTTTTCTCCTAATATCAGATAATTTTTTTTAAATGGAATCAGGGATTTTTATTGTCTCTTTTGTTTTGGAGACAACCCCAGATTTAAAGTAACCACTTAATAGTAAAAGCAGTCAAGTAATCAGTCCTTCAACTGTGTAGTAAAATAAATTGACAGATACTCACTTCCAGTCTTTGAACAGCCTCTTGAACACTTTCAGCACAATTGTCTGTGGAAGACAGAACAATGCATTCCCCTCGTTCATAAAATAGTTTGATGGTCATTAATCCAGATGTCCAGCCAATTACATCTCTACAAGAGCAATTAAAAACCACATTTTTGGATTCCTTCTCAACAAGGACCACAAACTCATTGGATATTCCAAGAAAACATTCAATGTCAGAAGAAAGTCCAAAGTCCCGGGCTATAACATTCCAAACAATAGCACATGTGCTGTACAAATGAGCCTCTTTTTTTGGTTTCACCTTTTCCTTTTTTTTGGCTCCAAGCGAGATGAAACTAAATTTTACTGAACTATCAACAGTAGCTGTTGAAACAAAGTTTTCTGCCAGATCCTTCAAGTATTCTTGTCGTGTTCTTGTAGCCATTGCTCGAAACTTTTCTGACTTGTGTGCTGCATTCTCTGCATTGATCACTTTGGCAAGAAGAAAATCCCTGAAAACAGCTGATTTGGGAAATGTCACACTTTTGGGTAAAGGTGGACCAAAAGATGGAACATCTTTTGACCTTGAAACAGCAACACTACAAAGGAAGGAAAAGAGGTTCAACCATAAACAACACCTTAATGAGCAACATACAAGGATAATTGAAATATAACGGTTTGACATTTTTAAAATGAGTTCTATATAAGCTAAATTAAATATCTGCTTTCCTCATACCATTATATTAACTTATTTTTTTCTATAAACTCTATCCAATTACCATATCTTGGACCTTGAGCAGTAAGATGTCTTGATCTAAGTTGGCAGCTTAGCTCACCTACCCCAGCCTTTAGAAGTGAGTCCCACAGTTGCTGCTGGGTTTTCACTACAGAGAATTAAGCACCAGGAGAAGAACTCTATTGCTGGATTTCATAATTATAATGCAGCCCTAAAATTGGTGGTGAAAGGTGGGCAGCATATATTGCACCCCAATAAGGATCCTGTTTATATCCCTTACAACTGGTAGCTGTTGTAATTCAACACTGACAAGTTATAGCCAGGAAGCCTGAATTAGCCACTCCATGGTTTACAGGAGTTGGCAGAACCGCTCAGACATTCCATCTCTTCATGAATCAATGCAGTGGCAAGTCATAGTATGTATACCAAAGGAAAGGAGCTTCTGTCCCATGGACAGCTAAAATTAGGCATGTGAGGGCAGTCTGTTTCCTTGGGGGTTCTACAGAAGCTGTTTAATTAATGTCCAATCAGCAGGTTGCAAGCATCTTAGTCAAAGTTGCAATGTTTAACTGTGGTGGAGGTCCAATCTTTTGTTAAGTGAGTTACTTTAGATATACAGTATGTATTTCAACTGTGCATTTGCCTGTTTCCTGGAGTTCATGTTTAATAAATAATAGAAAATGGAAAAAGAACAGCACTAATGAGTATATATGTAATGGGTGTAAGTGTACACTGATAATGTGTAAAGGCAAGGGTACATGATTACAAGGTTACTTAGGGTCAAATGGGTTTTATAACAAATGATGAACGCTAGTTATGCCATAAGAAAATATAAGCTGTCACCCACAAAGCTTCTCAAAACACCCAGGAAAAGCCTTAGGTTACTGTGTTGTATTTAATTTCTTCAACATCATTGCTCTATAGCACGAATGTCAAGCTGATGTTTCTTTGGGCTGCATACAATCCTTTGCACCTTTTTGTGGCCCTCTGCCAGTTTAAGAATCTACATTTTATGAGGCTACAAACTGATCTGTTGCTCATTAACTCTATGGCTACATCAATTATTTCACAACAGTTCAGAAAAATGTTTTCTAGTACTTTCAGGTGGATAACATGCAAAATGAAATACTATTTTTACAAGTACTGTAGATAGATACTGTATATAGTAAAGGCGATGTGAGATTTTTGCACTTAGAAGAAACTGTGGCATATTTTCAGAGAGTACGTATGGCCTTACTTTCATAACATTTGCCTAAAAGCAATAAAGGTAATGGAGGGCATTTTTAAATATGACAGGCTGTCAAGTTACATGATTACAGTAAACATAATGGTAGGCATGAAAAGCTAAGAAAGACCATATAACATGGTGCATATGAAATGATTGAGTATCTACATTTGTGAGTCATCACTAGCTGAACAATGTCAAATATGGATGTCAAATGACTCCCCTTTTTCAGCTTCAACAGACTTTTTTTTTTTAATATGAAACTTAAAATGGTAAAGGAAGCACGTATTTGATATAATATTTTTTCAGTTGTGGATTGCCCCAAACGATAATATAGTCTACAACAAATACTTTCTTCTATTTACATACACTTTTACTGCACATGCAAAAAAAGCTGCTAAATCAAATAGGTTTAGTTTATATGTAAAACGTACAAGGCTGAAATCCACTTACAGTTATTAATAAACATTAAAAATTACACCCTGTTTTATTACTTATTGGTATAGAGGAGAAAATGATTCACCACCTTCCTCCCCACAATGGACATTGCAATCCACAGTGATCCCTACATCTGTTTTGGGTCCCTATTCCCCAAACAGCACTCCCACTACATGTGCAGGTCAACCCTCAGCATGCTTAAGCCCTTTTCCAATAAATATAGTCCAAAAGAATAGAAACTGCAAGCTGAAATATCCCATAGTAAAGTTTATTTATTCCCAGCAATTAGGCATGACCTGCTCTGCTGGAGCTCCTACCTCTAACATGTTTCGTTCATGCAGTCTGTATTGTTGGAACTACATATGCTGGTAAATGGAGGTGGAGGTGTACTATTTACTGGAAAATTAAAAATAAAATTAGATAATTCTCAGGGACCTTGCAGGCTTGGTGGGGGAAGTATAGGTAAAGATTAGTATAGGCCCCAAAGGAGACCTAGTACAATAAGAACAAGGTTGGCAGTGGTTTGAGTTTCCATAGTAGGTTAAACACTTTTTTAAATGTGTTCTAACTATAAAATTGTTGCCTTGGATTCTTTATGTTATTTTGCAATCAGGTGTACCTTTTTTTCCAAACTACTGCCCCGCAATGCACAGAATTTTTGGAATTTTGTTTTACTGTAAATTTTTTTATATTCTTTATGTATGCTTGAAGTGTATCTAAACCCAAGAAATAATAAAATGTAATATATTGCTTACTATTTCTCAAATGTGATGGACGTATTAGTTTTCTTTTTTCCCGGTTTTGTTTCCTTTATTTCCACCTGCTGATCCTGCCAGTAGCTTCGTGTCCTAGGGCAGGGGTAGCCAAACGCTGGTCCTCCAGCTGTGGTGAAACTACAAATCCCATGATGCATCTCTCTCCGGGAGTCATGTCTGTGGCTGTGAGAATGTTGCAATGCCTCATGGGATTTGTAGTTCCACCACAGCTGGGAGGACCAGAGTTTGGCTACCCCTGTCCTAGGGTGACAATGCTCACTTAATGTATTGTATCTATGGAGTTGTCACCCAAGGACAAGAGGTGTGTTAAGACTAAAGAACATTTCCTCTCCATATTTCACAGAGTTGAACTGCAAAGGGCTAATAAAACTGCTTGAGATTTCAGTGCAGCAGAGACAAAGTGCACAGGAAATTACACGCTCACTGGATTTCTGACAGAGTTTACATTCACTAATATATACACTGTATATATATATATATACTGATTTTAAATGTTTTATACTTCTGTTAACAATATAGGAAAATGCATTCACAGACTATAAAAACATCCTGGAACAAAAATCCCTTTTTTGTGCTACTCCTGGAGATTTTTGGGAAATTGTTAGCAGATTAGTCTCATTAGACAGATAAATAGACCAGTCATGTGAGATTTCAGTAGCACAGCTGAGCTACTCAGAATCACCCCTGTAGCACTATCCTAAATCTCCCTCAATGGATAGTTAACACGGGTAACAACTAAATTCACATAGACCTCTCATGTCAGAAAACAGGGGACTCTTTAACAAAAATAGTAGTAAACCACCAAACCAAAAATGCCCTCGTCCCCCCCACCCGGAAGTGTTAGCCACAATGTGCTAATATGCTGTGCATAGTAGCACATTATGTCAGACTTATCTTGCAGGTGATCCCCTCCACCGCTGCGGTGTCAGTCTTCTTCTGGGTTCAGCGTCTTCGACCTCTTGATTTGCCAGGCTGGAATGATTTAACTTCTACACATGTGCACAGGGGTTCATTTATTTCAGCACAGAACTGTGCAGAGGTTGTGCACTGAGCTACACATACACAACTCATTAATTATGACAGAAGAGACATGCAGGGGTTGATTTACTAAAGGCAAACAGGCTGTTCACTTTGCAAGGGAATTTACACTTTACAGGGGAAGTTCCCCTCAGCTTACTTAATGTAGTAACATTTCAAGGATACCCAATCACATGCAAGGAAACAAAAAAACACTGTATTTTTGCTTGCACATGATTGGATGATGGAAGTCAGCAGAGCTTCACCTCATTCACTAAGTTAAGAGGGAAACTGCCCCTGCAAAGTGCAAATTCCTTTGCAGAATGAACAATCTATTTGCCTTTAGTAAATCAACCCCACAGAGTCTCGTTCCTCATAAAAACCCTACCTGTTAGCCATGTTTCCAACTTTACTTCTGATTTAAAGTGTATTTCTACTTTTGCAGCCAACTTGGGATAACACCTATTTTATTTTTGTTATATGTTCTCATTCACACAGCATAAGCTAAAAAATAAAAACGGCTGCTTACACTTTAAGTGCTTTATACTTGCTTACAAATCCTACCTAGCTTCCCCCCTATCTAATGTTAAGGAGGGGGCTGGGGGAAGTTATGTTTACTCTAATTAACCCTGTCTGTACTGTGCTGGCATATCTCATTATACGTTTATAAACTAGATTTGAACAATATCTGTCCTAACAAAGGGTCTGAGTTTGACCCTCTATATTCACTTTCAAACTGCAAAGAGTAGCCTGAAAGCTGCACAAAGACCTTCATAATAAAAACATCTAAAAGGTAAGAAATACGTTACTAAAAACTATTTCTCATTATGCGGTGTGAATGGGAACACATAACAAACATATGGTAGGGTTTTCTCAAATTTGACTGCAAAAGTGTAAATACAATTTAATCTGACTCTCTGCTTTTCAGATCACGGATCTAAAATGAGAATACAGATCAAGAAAGTAAGAGGAAAGTCAAAACAATTGTTCTGGGTCAGTGGCTCAAAGTACTGAAGATGTATGACAGCCAAACAACTAGTATTTTCAGATGGAAAGATTGGTAATGGCAATCTCCATGATTTCTCATGGCAGGTTTCCTCTTTAATTTATTTTATTTTCTTTCTTGGAACGCTAGATACTAAAAGCAAAATACAAACCCTTTTAGATACCGTGGTTTAAAAAATTATAGTGTATGTCTGGGGAAAAAACACACGCAATGGTGGAGACCGAATGGACAAGATGATGGATAAATAGTGAACTGGTCATAAAAGGGTGCCAAAGAGGAACATGCAGTGTCAGAGACACTGCAAACACGCAATGCGGCAAGCAACTGACAAGGAAGTGTAAGAAACCCTGACACATGTTAACCCTTTCTGTGAAAACCTATGAAAAAAGGGGGATGTTGATGGCGCTCAACTCCAACCAATAAATGTAGTAGCTCCCAATGCGTGGCCCACACAGCATACTCATTAAAGAGTTTTCAAAGACTGAGTAACACCAGAGGCGGTGCCATGGCTCTGGACCCAAAAAGCATTTTACAGCTAACAATAAAGACACAATAAACAGAGGTGTAAAAGTGCCACAAGCAAAGCCTATTCCCTGAAGCAAACACTTCAGGCAGGCACTGTAATGTTCGGTCCAGTGGGGCCCAGATACAGTCATAAAACTATTGCTGTGGAATGGATACATAAATCCAGATAGTGTCATAAAGATCCCAGCTCAGCAGCATGTATTTAATGGCTTTATTGAAGTAAAATAATTGTTTTGAAAAAAAAAATGGATAGGAAAATATGTAAGCTGTTACAAGACGTCCATTGTCCTTGGACACTAACAAAAAAAATGAAGCATGCTGTGAGTGGGAAGTGAAAAACCTGGCTGGCAATGGGTTTTTTATTTGCCGGTGTCAAATTCCTCCAGTATAATCCAACAGTCTGTGAATTACTGAATACGGTGTCCCTTAACGAACAAGAAAACTATTAACTTACAAAAAAACATTTAATAAAGCTGCAATAATAAAACAAATGTAGGACAGAAAAAATTGTTTCTAATTTTATGTCTTAAATGAAAGTGAGCAGGTAATCCACATGTCTTCATATCAGAAGTATAACATAGAGATGTAAAATGTGTTACAATACAAGTGTTTAAACTGATTTCAACAACTGAGCTGAATGCATTGTAAAGAATTAAAGAATTAAATTATGTTTAACCACTGGAGTCCCAGCTGCTTTTTAAATCAATCACCCTGCCCCATCAGATCAAATTTCTGATATAAACAGTATATATATAGATAGATATCTATATATAGATATCTATCTA